ATGTAAAGTCAATGGGGAAAATAGGAATTTATTTACAAAAACTATTGATTTTCATGATGTAGATGAAATCTGAATCCTAGCTCTGCTGTGCTTCTATGTAGTTGTGTGAACTTGGCTCTCTCTGGGCCTTGAATGCCTCATGTTCAAAATGAGGAGCTGAGATTAGAAGAACTCCAATGTTCCTTCCAACTCTGATATTGCTCATCTTTAGATCATGTGGTCATGTGCAAAGGTAGGGACACTGCCATGGCCAGTCTCATCAAATCCATTCACTTTGCTTCCTGAACAATGTGGATTGACTCTGAGACATCTCTCACTAGGCGTTTCTGTCTTTGTCCAGATCTTAGTCACCACAGAGATCTTTCCAGGTGAGCTCCCTTAGATTCTCACACACAGTGTACTTTGCTTAGCTGATCCAAAGTTTCAATCAAGCTTGCCTTAAAAAAAAAAACTCCTAGGAGCAAAATCCAAATCTTTGTGAGCTTTTAGCATGGCCTTTCTGCAGTGGGCCACTGGGAAGAAGGCAACTGTGAATTAACCATGCTGAGTGCCGAGGAGAAATCCCAGATTGGGAACAAGAGAGCTCTGCATTTGATTTACAGATTTCTTTTAAATTAAAATCTGTGCTTGCAGTGAACACTGAGTGAGTACATCAGATAAGATTCTCACGTGGCAGATGTCAGTCCTTGTTAATTACTAGAGCCCCATTGCACAGAATGTGCCCCCCCCACCTCTCGAAATCTAGGAAAGTCATTAGCCTATGAGCATGCAGCCACCTGGTGCTTAATGGTGTGGGACGGACCTAAGTGTGCCACAGTTGGCAGGCTGAATATGAAGAGAGCTTAGAAGATGTGGAACTTCACTCGGCAAATTGTGCCCAGAGCATCCCTGTCACTGTAATTTCAGGAATGCCAATCACTCCTCCATCAGAGCCTGTAACCAATCTCAGGGGTGCTCTGTGTTTGCATGATTCTACTGGGTGGAGGGGAGGCTCTGAAGTTTCAGCCTCTCTGGAAGCCTGGGGGTAGGGGTGGGAAGAGAGAGACAGTTTACAAGGTAATAAAGGAACATACTGAAGAAGGCCAGGGGCATTTCCTCAAGCAACAACAGGCATCCCAATGGCCTCCCACCTCCCTTTGCTGCTAAGGGCTTTCTTTGATAACTGCATCATGATAGTTAAATGTTACATCAAAGCATCGTGAATACCACAGTGGCAATTCCCCACCTCTGCCATGCCTGCCAATACCACCAGCCCCTGTGCTGATGGGAATCTCCTGATTCTCCAGGCCATCCAAAGAAGGATCCCAGAAAGACCTGGAGCTGTCAGGATGGCGCTCATTGGCACCATATGCCAGCCTGTAATTGATGTTTTCTTTTGTATGCCCTTTCCAAAAAACTCCTCTACCAAAGGAATGATCATTAGGCAGTCACGAAAAAAGAAATGGGGCTAGAGCCACAGGAAGATGGCGTCACACATTAGAGCAGGGGTGCTTAACCCTTTTTGTGTCCTAGGCCTCCTTTGGCAGTCTGGGAAAGCTTGTGGATTCCTCAAAATAATATTTGTAAATGCATACATAAGATTACAAAGGAAACAAAAGGTGAGTATAATAAAGATGCCATTTTTCCCCATTTATGTTCACAGGTCCCCTGAAATCTATCCAGGGACCCTAGGCGAAGAACCCTTGCATTAGAACAACCCTTGCACTAGAACAACTTAACAGAAATAGTGAAGAAAGAAAGAATTCTCTTTCTAGCATGGTTTGGGTATAGTCGTTCTCAGGCATAAGAAATTGAGTAAGTGGCCTACTGAGATCACCAAGAATCTTGTGTCATGGAACCAGCCCCTACCAGGGAGGCCATGAAGGGAAGACATGCTGTCAAGTACTGAGCTTCCACTGACCTTAACAACACAGAATCAGCCCAGCCCAGCTAGCCAATTCTGTCAACTGGGCCTAAAACCCCAAGAAACACAAGAGCAAAGCCTCAGATGTAGCAGCCCACTCCCACCCCCCTTAGAGAAACACACAGTGCATATACCCTGCTGATTGCCTCCCTGACTTGGATAGCTCCCTAGTAGGACACAACATATACAGGAAAGAAAGTAGCCAAGGACTGAAAACCATCCAATACCTGCTGTCTCAAGAATCTGGCCTGCCCTGACTCTTCTCTCACCCTGCAATGGCTCACTCTGAATCCACAAAATTGCAAGAACCAATGTCAATATCAGCCTTGGTTATGATGCCATTGACATTTAAAAGGGGACCTCCACATAACCTTTGTGTGAGAGGAGACGTCTATGTACTAAATGAACATGCATGCTCTTTTCCTGCCCTCCTAGTTATGCTATGATGCCTTCCACATTATCCTAAAACTCTGAAAAGAATATCAATCCTCCCCAAAACTTTGATTCACCAGGCCTTTTCTTCCCAGGAATGCTTGAAGAAGGCAAGTTGATCAAGGTCCAGTGTGGGAACCCCCTTAGCAACATCGAAGTTGGAAGGAATGTTTGACTTAATCTAATCTCAGCCCCTCCTCCTTTTGTAGACAGGCATCCTAAGCTCAGAGAGAACCAAGTTCACACAACTACACAGAAGCACAGCAGAGACAGGCAATTGCAGTTCGGCTATACCTTAGTTAGTAAGTCCTAGGGAATTGCCCGAAGAATTATGAAGAAGTGTCTTGCCCAGATTCATGCATTTAGTGAGAGTTACGAGCAGGATTTTAACTCGGGTTTTCTTTATTCCTGGTCAAGTACTCTATCCACTACACCATATTGCCTCTTCATCTAATCAGCAATCTATAATTAGAAAAAGACCAACCTCATTGTAGCTCAGAAATGACTGGAACCTTCACAGACAATATCAGATTTTTAAGGCTAAATTTATATTTTCTATTTCTAGTAAAGCACACAGGACTAGGGCACTGTTCAACTGACTGATTTAAAAACGGCATGGGTATGGCAAGGTTTTAGAATGGTTACAAGTTTAATTAAAAGGCAAAGTGAGCTCAATAGATTCCATTAGAATGCTGGTGTTATCTATTGGTAGAGCTATGAATTGGTCCAACCATTTTGGAAAGCAATTTAGAATTATGCTAAGGATGTGATTGTTATAGCCATACTCTTTGAGCCAGAGATATCACTGCTAGGTACATACCCGAAGAAAGTCAAAGATTGAAAGGAAGATTCCCACATACACCAAAATATTAATATAACTATGCTTTTTGAAGTAGAAGAGAACTAAAAACAAAGCAACTGCCCATTTATAACAGAATTAAAGCACTGTAAAAAAAACACAACTGCTAACTTAAAGAATTTAGAAAGTTATGAGAAGACACGTGAAATGATACAAAATGAAATAAATAGAACCAGTAAAATAATATGTAGAATGATGACAGTTATCTATATGGAAACAAAAACAACAAAAGCAAAATAAAATTGAATGATATATGATTATAATGATCACGCTTTTTCCTCCCAAAGAAGAGTTGAGAAAATAAGACTCCCTCCCTTCTTTTGCAGTGATGGTGGACTGTGAGTGTGGAGTATTGCAGCTACTGCTAGACTTGGTGTATTGGTTAGTTTCGCTAAACTGCCTTTTCCCCCTTCCTTTTCTATTTTCTTTTTTTTTACAAGGAGTGGCTCTCTAGACAGGGGAGGCTAATGGATATATTGGGATGGAAAGGTGATATAAGGACAAAAAATACCAACAGATTTTTAAAAGAATTTTGGTGTTAGGAAGACAAAAGTAAACCTACATCCTAGGTTTTTGGTATTAACATGAGACAAATACCATTCCTGTTCACTTAATAATTATAATAATAGCTAGCATTTATATAGTGCTTACCGTGTGCTAAGTGCTTTATAAGCATTATCTCATTTGATCCTCCGGACAACTCTGGGGGATAGGTGCTATTATTTATCCTTATTTTACAGATGAAGAAACTGCAGTAAACAGATTAAATGACTTGCCCAGGGTAACACAGCTAGTGTCTGAGGTTGAGTTTGAACCCAGTTCTTATTTCATGCACTGTATAGTCCAGCCATAAATGGAACTACTCTCCAACCCCTATTCTTATGTTCCTTTCTTCATGCACTGGCTCAAGCAGACCAATTCCTGGAATGGACTCTTCAACCATCTCCCCTTGTGAAAAATCTTGCTTCTGAAATTTTCCAGCATTATTTTCAGGTTTCTTACAATTTGTTTGGGTCTACATGACATTGCTCATGAGCCCTCATAGTCTAAATCTCCCCGTAACAAGCCAGAATTAATCACGTGAAATCCCAGTGGTAAAAAAGTACATGCATTATGGTAAAAGGTAAACAACAAAGACTTAAATTTCAAGTAGTAAGCATGCTCATCACCCAGTTTCCAAACTGCAAGACACTGCCTTACAGTCAATGAAACATAGTAGTCCTCCTGCAAAAGGAAATGGGGCACCATCTGCACCAGTGTACCAACAATAACCTAGGGGAGAGAGAGGGGGTGTTAGCAACAAGCCCAGGAGGCTCAAAGTCTGCAGTTTGGAAGTCTGCAGCCATTGCTTCTCAGGCTGGAAACCACAGCTAGAAGCGTGTCTGCTGCCTTGGCAACCCTAGAGCAAAGTATCACCCCCTGAACATCCAAAAGGCTAGCGTTGTCATGGGATGTAGCTGCCTCAGTACCTTGAAAAGCATTCTTGAAACAATATTCAAAAATTAGCAGCAGTTCGACCAAGAGAAAGCAGTTGGAGTTAGATATAGTGGCCTGGCAGCTTCCTGGTTCCCCATCATTTTTCTTTCTTGCTCTTTCCTGTCTTTCTTCAGCGCTGGGATTAGGAAGGATTGTAAAGAGTATTGTTTCTTCTCAGTACTGGACCGGACACACAGTAGGTGAAGGTCAGGTCCTGGCTGTCATTTCTCTCCCATCTCTCTGACTCTGTCTCTTTCTCCTCTTCCTTTTTCCTACCTTTGGCTCTCTGGGGGGCAAGAAGCCCATTTCTCATATATGCCTTCCTTTCAGGAGCTCACACTTCAGTAAAGGAAAGAGTAATCTCCACCCCACGATTCTACTTCCTACAAGAACGACTTCATGTACCAATCACCCCATCTGGAAATGGTAGCAGCTTTAGAAAAGAAACAGGAAAGGTCCAAACCAGAGACAACCAAACATCCAGATTTTCCAAAAGAGGAAGGAGGCAGATTCTTCACCTCTAGGCTACCGACACTATCATTCCTGACAAAATTCTGGGATGCATTATTAAAAGGATAGCTGGAAGCAATGATCACTACAAGCCAGAATGGTTTCATCAAAATGGAGTCAAGCCAGATCAAGCTCATTTCCTTTATGACAGGGTCACTAGACTGATAGATGATAGAATGCCACAGACATGGTATGCCTAGATTATAGTGAAGAAACTGACAGAGCTTCTCCTGATATTCTTGTGGACAAACTGTAGCTCTTTGAGCTAAGTGATCCGCTAACAAGTGCATCGAGAAGCAGTTGAAGACAAGAGTGGTGATTAATGATGAATCGATGTCAAGTTGGAAAAATATCTCTAGTGAAGAGTCCAAGGATTCTGTCCTTGGCTCTTGTCTGTCAACAGTTTTATTGACAACTTTGAAGAAGCCCTAGGTGGTGAGCTTAATGCATTTTCACACAGCACAGAACTAGAAAGGGTTATAAGGTAATATATTGGATGAAAAAAAAATTAGCTGTTATAGAATCCCAGAAGATTTTGATAGACTGGTTACAATAGATCCAATCTAATAAAATGAAATTTTAAAATTTAATGTGTCTTACTGATGCCTTTTTTCTTTATAGTACAATATTTTTCTGGGAGAGAGGGGAAAAAAATCCTCCCCACCCTCCAGATTGAACCCTTCCTTGTATAGTGAATAAAAGCAATTAAGCAAAAACACCTGATATGACATTTTTCTCCAGTTATTCCTCTCTTTGACATGAAGATGTAGGTATGTTTCATTAACTGTTCCCCAGGAAAGTCATTGGTTTTCCAGTTACTTTGGCTTCCTTTTAGCAATCATCTCATTCACATCATTGTAATTGTTGTGTCTATTTTTCTTTTGGGTCTGATTGTTTTATTCTGTATCAGTTCATTCACATCTTCCTAAGTTTCTCCAAATTCTCCATATTTGTCATTTATAAAATGAAAATTTAAAAGAATAAATGTAAATTCCTTCTCTTAGTTCCCCCCAAAAAATAAATCAATTGTACATGTACTAAGTTGGGGAAAATGGTTAGATAATAGTTCATGTGAATAACACCTGGAAATTTTAGCAAATTTTAAACTCTGTGCGAGTCTTTGTGTCACCAGCACAGAGCCTGGTAGGTGCTTAATACATGTTTATTGTCTGATTGACAGTGCCATGATGTGGCAGCCAAAAGCATTGATACAATCTTAAATTGCATTCATAGAAGTGAAATACTGGAAATGCATGAGATTATAGGCTTTTGAAAATTCTGCTACCCTGGCTACACATCTGGATTAATGAGTTCACTTCTCAGCATCTCATATTAGGAAGGACATGGATAAGCCGGAGCTTGTCCCAACAAGGATTACCAGGCTAATGAGGAAACTGGGGAGTGGGGGTGGGGAAGCTCCCCATGCTTCAGCTGAACTGAAGGGACTGCAGCTGGTTAGCCTAGGGAAGAAAAGGCTTAACTGGGAATGTGATCTTCAAGTTTTTAAAGGGCTGTCTCATAGAAAAGAAAATAGACTTTTTCTGCCTAGCCATAGAGAGTGGAGCTAGGAGCAAAAGGTATTGATTTCAGAGGCAGGAAAAAAAAGAGCTGAAAAGTTCGCTCTAAGGAATATTGCAGTTGTTGTCCATTCATTTCAGCCATGACCAACTCTTCATGATCCCTTTTGGGGTTTTCTTGGCAGAGATACTGGAGTGGTTTGCTATTTCCTTTTCCAGGTCTTTTTTTTTTTTACAGATGAGGAACTGAGGCAAACAGGGTTAAGTGACTTGCACAGGGTCACACAACTATTGTCTGAGGCCAGATTTGCACTTGGGAAGACTATCCTCCTAACTTCAGTCACCCCACTGTCCCCACTAAGGAATAGCCTAACAGAACTGCAGAATGAACAGCCTCAAGCAGTGGGGAGTTCCTTATCACTGGAGTATTAACCTTCTGACTGACCACTTAGAAGCCATGTTGTAGAGAATATTTTTGCTTAAATACGGGTGTTATTAAATGATTCTGTAAGTCTATTTTCACCTCTGAAATTCTGTGATTTTATAAGAGCTCCCTTATTCCTTGAATTTCTCGGTACATTTTGTTGGGACCTCTTGTTCATGAGAGGCAGGGTGGGATAGTGGAGAGAAAGAGTCAACCATGGACCAGGATTGTTCCTGTTGTTTGTCCTTTGTTCTCGAAGAGCATCATGGCATCAAGGAGGTGATGCCATTAAGTGCAAGTGAATTGGATGTAAGTGAGGGAGGGCTGTGCAAAGTCACCAGCCTCACTTTCTCCTCCTGAGCCATCTGGGTCCAGTGGCCACATAAAGATTAAGACGACTGGAGATGGCCCAGGATGCAGTGGGAGACCTTGGCCTTTTCAAGCTAAGGTCTTTAACAGGTCTCAGTTTGACTAAAGCCCGGGTTTAAGTCCTATCTCTGGCATATACTAGTTATGAAACCCTGGGCACTTGTCCTCTTATTGCTATGGGCAACTATTTAAGACTTTGTGGTAGAGCAGGTACCGACCTGCATTGATCCAGGGGATTTCCTCATCCAGGGAGTTCACTATGTGAATAAAATCACAGATCTAGCCCCTATCCCTTCACGATTACTTTCTAACATCATATTATAGTATTTCATATACGTGTCAAATCTGTGTCATTCATTTGTAAGTTCCTTGAGGGAACTCTGTCAGAGTTCAACTTTTTATTCTTTGTCCCTATACATAATAGGAGCTTAAGTGTTTGCTGAATACAATTGCTGAATCATAGGATCCTAGATTTAATGCTGGAAGAGAGTCAGAAATGTTCTAGGCCAACACCCTCATTTTACAGATGAGGACACTGAGAACCTGAGAAGCTACGTGGCCTGCTCAAGCTCACACATACACTAAGTATCAGAGATGGAATTTTTATTCAGGCCTTCTGACTCCAAAAACAGTGTTCTTTCCACTGTACGCAGACTGTCTCCCCAACATAATCTTACCTGTCTCCTGTCCTCTCGTATCGAGGGCACCCCGTACAGCTTTGCTACAAGTCACTAGCAATATTCACTTGGGATTGATATTGAGAAGATTACATTTAAATGTAAAAAAGGTATAAATTGCTAGCATCACTAGCTCCCATTGGCCAGTACCACGTTCCATCTATCTGCCTCCTGTGGTGCAGCTATTGCCACAAAATAACAGTCCATTTAGTAGAATCATTTTAGAGCTGGAAGGGATGTCAGAGATTTCATGGGCCGACCCTCTCATGTTATAGAAGAGAAGAGGCATTGAAAATGGAAATGACTAGTCACAGCTAGTGGCCACACTAGAATTAGGACCTAGGTCTCTTGACACTATATCTGGTAGGGGGTTTTCTATCACCACATCCTGTTTAACCAAAACATTGGGGTTTTCCTTCTATTTTCTGTGAAAGGAGACCATGAGAATTTTTATTAATTACGAGAAGCTTTTCTTCACCCTTTATCTCTTGAGGATTGACAGAAGAACTCCAGGTTAACCATCATGGATGTGTATTCAGTTGGGTGGGTGGCCCTCAGTTATTTCTCCAGCCTTTGTTCACTATCCCTCGGCCAGTCTCTTTGAACTGAAATTCAAGAGCCTACATTTAAAGTTCTTTAAAGAATGTCCAGTTTATTTAAAAATTGAAGTTCTGTGCTTGGCTTCCAATAGCAGAGAAGTGTTAAAGACTCACATGCCTCTTCATTAAAGCCTCTATCACCCTGCAGGTATGCTACTTCTGATTACATGTTTTTGTGCTGAAAGCATTTTGAATTGGGTACTTGGAAGCACAGACTGCCATATTAAATGGGTTGTTATTTCATAGCAATAGCTGCACCAGAGGGGGGAGGGGTCATGAGGGGAATATGGCACCGGGTTATTAAAACTGGAAATGCCAGTGATTCATACCCTTTCCCATTTAAATGCGACCTTCTCAATGTCAATTCCAAGCAACTGCTACTGATAACTTGCAGTAAAGCTAGACATGGTGCCATGAGTTCTGGAGGTCAGGAAGGAGCTAGAGAGAAATGTGTAGCAGCTGTCAGAGCACAGGACATCAGAAGTCAGGAAGGGAGGTGGGTTCCTAGAATTTAGAGATGGATCAATGAACAAGTCTGGTTAAGCCTTTTTATAGATGAGGCAACAGAAGTTCACAGAAGTTAAATCACTTTCCTGAGGTCGCAGAGATAGTAAGGATCAGGACTAAAACTTGAATCAAAGTTCCCCTCGTTCTGAATCCAGACTACTTTGTTACAGTCAATCCAATTGACAAACAAGTCTTCATTGAGAGCATAATATTTTCTAGATACTTTGTTACACAATGGGAAATGAAGACTAGAATAAAACAGTTCCTGCCTTCAAGGAGCTTACATTTTATGGGGGAAACAATATGTACACAGAAAGTAGATACAAAGTACATAGGAAGCAAATCCAATGGAGTTTGGGGGAGGAGGTGAAGAGTGAACCACTAACAGTTCATCTCAGGAAGAAGGCAACCCTGAAACTACTTCCAGAAGGAAGCAACTGGGTAACTTGTTGTGAAAGGTTCTGAAGAGAGATCCCTGGACAGAAAGAAAAGCTGAGAAGAGGAAGTGTGTCTGGTTGGCCAGGAGCACCCACATGTATCTGTTGGGTTATTTAAGATCAGCCAGGAATAAACAGGTGACTTAGAACCAGAGCTGAAATCAAAGTTCAAGTCAGTGTCCAGATCCCAGGTTGTCAGGGTCAGAGCAGGGCAGGGCATGACATGGGCAAACTGCATCATCAAAGGTGGGTTTGACTCAGCCTCCTTTAGAAGCTGCAGGAATTAAATGGCCCTTCTCCCAAATGGGAAGTGGTGCCTAGAACACATGGGACTTGACACTACTGTCTCTTTCAAGAATTATACAACTAAAATAAAAACAAGTGAAATGTAAGTAATTGCAAAAACCAAATGTGAACAGCAGGAGTATCACTTTATTAAGAGATAAAACAGGAAGGCTTTCCAATAGTTGTCATTGGTAGGCCTTATGTAAAATATGATGGAAAACAAATATTAAAAACTGATTCTTTCTCACCGATTGAACATTTATGTTCATTACAGCATCATAATAACTTTTGAAGACAGTTCTGTCAGGCTCTGCTATCAGAAAATCAACTCATGGAAAGTCTTTTAACTAGATTTTATCTTAATTATTTGCTCAGTGTGTATATTATTTGACGTGTAATTTTGGTCCTAAGGGAAATTAATTTTTGTGACTCAGAATGGTCTTTATTAAAAATGGAGCAAGCAGTGAATTTCAACCATGCCCCCAAGTTACCCTGCAATCATATTTAGCACATCTCACCAAGGGAAAATTAATAAAGGGAAAGGGGGAGGATGGAGTCAGTGGTGAGGTATGTTAAACCCTGGAAATGATCAGAGACTTTTCTCCTTGGAGTTCAGATACAGATTGGTCAAATTAGGATGCCTGGAGTGTTCCTGAAGCTGTTGTGCTCCTCATCCCAGAATTGCTTCAGAATTTGGAGAAAGGGTTACTTACTGACCATCTAACTCAACCCTCTCATTTAA